AGAAACAAAATGTCTGTGAATGTATAATATTAGTAACTTTAAATAGTGACCAGAATGTTTGGTAGAAATCACAAAATGGTGATTTATTCTGCTGTGGGCTTGCTGGAATTTTATTTAAACAATATGGTCAACAACATGGGCAACAATATGTATGTGTGAGAACATGTACACAAAAAATAACATTTATATACTTACTTTCCCACCTGACTACAAGTGGCCAACCAGTCAGACCTGAATTTCTTAGTATAAGTGTTTTAGTGTGAATGTGCTTCAGGTGTTGCAAAGGATATAGTTGCTCTAAAAATTACTTGTTATTTAGCTGAAATTCAAACTTAATTGGAATTGTGAGATTCCTCCTCTGAATCTGTCTTTACACACATATGAGATATATTGTCTAATTAGAAAATGGGCAAACATCTGGATATGGTAGCTCTTATCTATAATCCCAGAATTTGGAAGACTGAGGCAGAATGATTGCACAAGTCTGAGACTCCCTGGATTCTATAGATTTCTAGGCCAGACTAAACTAGAATAAAACTTTATCTCTGGGGAGGAAGGTGGAGGGGAGAGGGAGAGAGAGAGAGAGAGAGAGAGAGAGAGACTGGGCAAAAGGCATGCAAATGGCAAGTATGTATGTAACAAGATGTACAGTATCATCAGCCATTAGGATAATGCTAATTAAAACCACACTGAAATAACAAAATAGCTAAAATGAAAACTACTGGAACTCATAAATTGCTAAGTAGAAATACAGAACTGTGCGACCACTCTGGACAATGGTCAAGCAGTTTCTGTAAAATTCAGCATGAATTTGCCATGTGACCCAGTAATTGTGCTGGGGAGTATTGCCCCAAACAAATGAAAATTTATGTCATGCCAAAATCTGTACATGAATATTCACTGCAATGGCCCAAGTTGGAGACAACTAAATATCCTACATTAGATGAAGATAACTCTAGGACTGTGATTGCAACTCAGGGGTAGATTATGTGCTTGGCATGGGCAAGCTCTAGATTTGGTCTCCAGAAACATGTTTAGGTGAAGTTTGTGTTCATCTCTTCTGTGGAATACTCACAAATGATGTTGGAAAGCTGCAAAAACTTGGATGAATCTCAGGGGCATTACGCTAAGTGAAATACAAAGAAATGAAGAGAGCTATCAGCTTGTTTATGTAGCATATGGTATCATTTCTGTAGCCTTCTCAGAAAGACAAAAGTATGTCTTAATGGCTTCCACACTGGATCCCACTCTGGACAGAAATGGCCAAGGCTGGAACTGTCTGTATCGTCTAGCAGGTTGCCCTGCAATTCTCTTTCTTGTGGAATGCCTCAGAGGGAGCATCTCTAAAGAACACTGTCTGAGTTTCCAATGCCTGGGGTGGAAAGCAGAGACACAGGAACAATATTCTTCACCTCAACCACAATTGGTTCTGTGCCCATCAACCACTTGGCAGCTGACTATTTGTATGCTAATCCCTGGCCAATATAAACCTAGGATTCCTGTGAAATCACTCTGCATCACGTCCTCCTCCTCCCACCTTACCTGTGTGTCTGGTGTGTCCTCCCCCAAAACCTTGCACTTTGGCCAAGGACCCTCTCTGGAAGGTGTGTTCATAAGAAGTACACCAGTCCTGGAAGTTTTCCAAGCTAGGAAACTCCTTTCCAGTTACCCAGATGATGGTTCCCTCAAGGCTGAGAGAAGAGAATACTATTGTTTAAATTCTTTAACCCACTTTACCTTTGGTAAACGCTGTTTCAGCTTGCTTCCTTTCTTACTCTTCCCTGTTTCCCTTTATGTTATTTCTAAGGGTAAAGTATGGTAGGAGATTTTGGAAAACTGAATAAGACTCCTTACTACCTTCATGAACCCATGTTTACAGGCAGCTATTTTGATGCACAAATACATCTGACATGGGTGTGACAACCATGTTTGTTCAGCACTTATTGTAAGAGACACTCTATGCATATATCCTATTTCTGTGAACACCTGCAATTAGAATATTTTTTCCAAAAGCTAAGAATTAAATTGCTTCAAAGAATTGTTAATGTTTCCCACATTATTTATTTTATCATTCCAATCATGGCAACTTTAAGTCTGATAACATTTTTCATGAAAAAAAAAAAAACTACATTTTATCCTGAGTTACCCTGCAAGTAGAGTGATTAAAAAAAAAGTGTTATGTGCCGATGATGTATTAGAGACATAATTCTGGGGAAGTGGAGAGGAGGGCAGAGGGCATGGTCAAGGAACATGGGAAAGACAGTACAAAAGGGAATTAGATTTACCGTAGCCACAGGTAATGAGTGCTTGGCTCCACTGCGGCCATGTGAGGGGCCCGAAGAAATGTGTCTGATGGAGTGCCAGAAGAAAGAGGAACCATGGAAGAAACTCAGGGTCCACAGAGGCCAGTTCCCTGCTGGTTTGTGGTACCCCGTGCGTGTTTATGCCTGAATGTTAGGCAGACACAGGTCTCAGAGAAGCCCGGTAACAAGAATCAAAAGGTATTACATACAGACCCAAAACTGAGCTTCTACTGGCAGTAGAACTAGGAATGTGGCCACAGTGTCAACCGTAGAGTCTCTGCAACTTCCTCAAGTAATAAGGCAGTGCTCCAGGCATAAGTAAACCACATTGCCTTTTATTAGGGGCAAACTTTTACATCTGCAGTTTGTCCAGTGACAACTCTAAGTTTTGAAAGTGAAAATTAATTTCTAAGGTTGGAGTGACAGCCCAAGGATGTTACTTTAAACTGCAAGATGGAGAGACTACTAAATTAAAATGTGGAAAAAGTATTATAAATAAGAGAAATGTATACTTAATTTCTATATCTGTGTTTTGATAAGTTCATCTGGTATAAAACCATTTCATACAAAATTTTATTTATAAAAAATAAGTGACTAAAGTGGGCATGTCCTTATCACTAGTTCAAATTACCTTTATATACTTAAAATAATCAGTTATAAAAGCATGATTAATGCTAAAGTTATATACTTTGTATAGATATTAATTAAATGATTAAGGGGTTATATTCCTTAGATACTGAATAGATAAAATAACCTATTAAAGATAACTAGCTTATTGAGCATTCATTCTCAAACACTGTTCTGAGATACACAAATTAATCTAACCCTCAATATCTCTTAAGCAGATATTATCTGTCACCTTAAAGATGATGAAGCTGGGTTTGAAAAACTTGCTGAAGCTGTGTTGCTAGGAAGAGTCAGTGCTAAAGTTGTCTGAAGAGATAGATCTCAATCAGTAATGTCATGTCTTACAGGCACAAGGACCTGAACTGGATGCCCAGACCCATGTAAAAGCTAAGCTAAAGGGCTTTTATAATCTCAGCATATGGAGAGAGGATACAAATGGGGCCCTGGGTTCACTGGCCAGCCAACCTAACCTTGCTTAGTTCAGGGCCATGAAAGACCCTGTCTGAAAGGAGGTAGACAGCCTTTCCTGAAGATAGTACCCCAAGTTGTCCTTGGGATCTACAAACACACACACACACACACACACACACACACGTTAATGAAGAAACAGTGCCACAGAGTCAATATCTTAATTTTTACAAAATTTTACAGAAAGTTAGAATGCACTAATGGTCTGGTTCACCTCGAATCACTGTGTTTGCAGAAAACAGTGAGGATAATTGCCATAAAGAAGTTAGCCTCTCATTACCAATAAATTCACCAGTTCTTACTCATTGTACATAGGAATCCAAATATGAGAGCAAAAACCGTTAGGATAGAGTAATGGGGGAAATGAAGAGATGATAGGCAGTCCTTTGACACACAAAGGAGGTCTATAGAACAGAAAGATGACTGTGTCATTCCGGCAGCCTGAAGATTGGAGCTATAAAAATAGCTGCCCAAGTTTGCTATATACTAGTTTGCATTTATGGATGCAAAGAACTTTTCAAAAGTCAACATGCTTACATATGAAGAACCTTGCTCATCCCCAGATAATTTCCCATATGTGTTCATGCCCTTCTTGATACTTGCTGAGGGCATCTCCAGGTAGTTTGTAAAAATCAATTTGTTGGTTATTCACACTTTCTGTGGTGCTACAGAAAAGTCCTGTATTATTTTGTCATCTTCTCCTCCTCCTCCCCTTTCTTCTTTTCCTCCTCCTCTCTCTGGCTCTTTCTGTCTCTCTCTTCCTCTCTTCCTCTCTCTCAACTCCTGTTTGACTGTGAAGATCTGTGTGTTCTGCAATTGCACAACTTCAGACAAGCTCAGAAAGGGAAAATTTCCAAAGTTTCCTTTCCCTTTTTAGAAAAAGGTGCAAGCTTTATGTATGTTTCATGATTGACATGAAAGCTACAGTGACTGATCACCAGTTATATTTGGTGTGGAAACTGTGCACCAAACTCAACTGAATTTTACTGTCAATGCACTTGAATGAATGAAATAATGTCTTTGGGCAACATCCTCTCTGCTCTAACCCCTCTCTCTCTCTCTCTCTCTCTCTCTCTCTCTCTCTCTCTCTCTCTCTCTCTCTCTTGCTTATTGGTTACACTTTAATTATTCAGCCTCCTTTTTATCACACACTGCCTGAAACACAGGGAGGAGCCTGCTCCTTCTGACTTCCAAATTCCATCCTGCTCATGTTTAACAAATATTTGTTAACTGTCTAGCCAGTGCATTTAGTTTCTCAGGACAGAAACTAAATCATTGAAAGTCAGAGTCCCTACCCAAAAACAAGCTTCTAGATTAGCTAAAAGTTTCTATTAGAACTTGAGAAATTAGAATTTGAGAAAAGTTTTCCTGAAGAAAGACATACTATCCTCCAAAAGAATAGAGTAGCTTAGATTATTGTGTGAAGTTATAGAAACAGCAGCACTGAACACCGATTGTGCCTGGATTCCCAGGCAAGACGCACAGTTGCAATTGTAAATATTGCACATTTTTCTGTTAATGTCTGGGGGTGTCTGTTACAAGCTGATGATCTGTAAGTCCTTTTGAGTTTCCACGCCTCTAATTTCCTTTGTTTGCTTTCAGTAATGGAGAAAACGTGTGCAGATGTGTTCCCTCTGACAACCAATTCCTCAGAAAAGCAAGAGACTGTCTGCATTTTTGGAACAGGGGATTTTGGAAAATCCTTGGGATTTAAAATGCTTCAATGTGGTTATTCTGTTATTTTGGGGAGTCGAAACCCCCAGGTGTCCAGCCTCCTGCCCAGGGGAGCAGAGGTATTGAGCTATTCCGAGGCAGCTTCAAAGTCTGACATCATAATCTTGGCCATTCACAGAGAGCATTACGATTTCCTCACAGAACTGGTTGACCCCCTCAGAGGAAAAATATTGGTAGATGTCAGCAACAACCGTAAAATCAATCAGTATCCAGAATCGAATGCCGAGTACCTTGCTCAGTTGGTGCCAGGAGCCCATGTGGTCAAAGCATTTAACACCATCTCAGCCTGGGCTCTCCAGTCAGGAACGCTGGATGCAAGTCGGCAGGTAAGATTAAATGAACTTGCATTCAGCCTTTCAAAGGTGAATGTTTTTATATGTACTTAGCTGAATACAAATCCAAAATGAAATCCCCAGTAAATATTTCATTCTCTAATATGTGCTAAGGACAACTTTATTGGTTTCCATAAGAAGTGTAGTCTTGTGTGCCTTGATGTTTATTAAGTTTCATGGACTCAAATGATGTCTGAATCTGGAGTCCTCTTGCCCATACAGTAAACTCACAGCTTGTTGACTCTTTCCACTTTAGTGAAATTGGGTTTATTTATGCCACTGAGATTAGCCATCATCATAAATGATATATGCCCACACTCAAAAAAAGATGAGACTAGTTAGGTCACAGTGAACTTTACCCTATAGCAGCACTTTGTGCCTAAAATCACACCCAACAGAAAAGCATGGTCTTGGTTCAAAACATCTTACTAGATGTGTTGATTCTATATCTCTGTTTTGAAAATGGTCCATTAGTATGTTATTTTTCCACATGATACTTTATAAAGTTTAATGATAATTATTATTAAATAAAAAATATCTGAAACTAACTCTTTTAACTTAGGTGTTTGTCTGTGGGAATGATAGCAAAGCCAAGCACAGAGTGATGGACATTGCTCGTACCCTTGGACTCACTCCATTGGATCAAGGATCTCTTGTGGCAGCCAATGAAATTGAGAGCTACCCTCTGCAACTATTTCCTATGTGGAGGCTCCCTTTCTACTTGTCTTCTGTGCTGTGTGTCTTCTTCTTTGTATACTGTGCTATACGAGAAGTGATATATCCCTATGTGAATGGGAAGACAGATACTACGTTTCGCCTGGCTATTTCCATCCCGAATCGTGTCTTTCCTATCACAGCACTGGTCCTGCTTGCTTTGGTATACCTCCCTGGTATTCTTGCTGCCATTCTGCAGCTCTACCGAGGTACAAAATACCGCCAATTCCCAAACTGGCTTGACCATTGGATGCTGTGCAGAAAGCAGCTGGGCTTGGTAGCTCTGGGATTTGCCTTCCTTCATGTCATCTACACACTTGTGATTCCTATTCGTTACTATGTACGATGGAGACTGAGAAATGGAACCGTTACTCAGGTAAATTTCTACTCCTCTGTATTTCTCTACTCCTTATATCAAAGCACAGTCTTGCTCTACCACAATCCATTTCACAACTACAGAGCATTGCTTCCCAAAGTCTGTTCTTCATTTTGGATTTTTTGGGGGGTTATTTGTTTTGTTTGAGATAGTTTATGATTTAGGGCTGGTTGGCCCCAAACTCATGATCTTTCTGCCTCCATCTCCCAAGTGCTGGGATTAGGGGCATGAATTGTCAAATCCATCCAGTATTTTCATTTTTTTTAAAGTATCAAGAATCAGAAACATTATCCCTGGGCTTGCAAATGAATCCAACTATGATCACATAGAACCACTGAGAATAAAAGTTAGATTCCTGAGTAACTTGGCTCTAGATCTGTAATCCTGGACTCACAGAGATACTGAAAAACTGGCAGATTTGGAACTAAAGAGTTCCTTTGAGTAAGAGTCAATAAGCACAAAATCTAAGTTTTCAAGCTTCTGTTTTTATGTAAATTTCTTCTTTAAGTCTAAACCACTGTCTACTAACTATGGAGTCTGCCCAAACATGTGCTACAGAAATACAACAATTTCACAAAAGGATACTTAGAAATCCATTCATATTTGACTGTGAGAAGTTGTCCTCAATAGCCATAAAAACTGAACAATTCTAAAAAATAGCAAATATGCTCTTATGAATATTCAAAGGCAAAATCAACTCAAGTAACCTTTCAGGAATTACAGCAGAGATGCTACAAGTCCACTCCAGTTTAGAAATTAATGATCTTGGTAGAGCTTGCTGCAGTCTCAAGTCACCAACTCACCAGCACTGTGTCCACAAGTATATCCTCACACATTACCCTAACAAATGCATGCAAGGTTCTTGAGTAAGGTTCACACTACATCGCCTTATTCCTCTCACAGTGTGATACAAAAGATTTAATGCTGAATTATGACATAATCAGCATGAAAGGCCCAAACTCTGTGTGTGTGTGTGTGTGTGTGTGTGTGTAAGAGAGGTGAGAGAGAGAGAGAGGAGACAGAAACAGAATATACCCTAAACAGAATATAAAACCAAATTTTGAAGTGATTGTTTGAGGATACTATGCTTTGTTTGAAAAACAGAAAGCCCCATGCTAAAGAAGGTTGAAATGTATATTGGCTTTGTTTTAAGATGTATAGGGCAAATAAAAACTTCCTATGTGACCCCTGGAAATGAGAATTATAACAAAATCACAGAAGAGCAATTACCTTTTCAAGTGTAGTTTCTTGAAACCGTTCCTAAGTGATCAGTAAGGAAAAATACACAATTTGCTTTGTGCAAGAAATGTGTGCAGAGGTGTGGTTCAGTCCCCCTGAAAGAGTGGGGTGTTGGGACCATCCATTTTAATTGTTTTTAACTTTTCATAGGCCCTGACTAATAAAGACTACCCATTTAGTACCTCTACGGCCTGGCTTAATGATTCCTACTTGGCACTGGGAATCCTGGGATTTTTTCTGTTTCTTCTCTTGGGAATCACTTCCCTGCCATCAGTAAGCAACATGGTCAACTGGAGAGAGTTCAGGTTTGTCCAGGTAAGTGTTTCAAATTTAAATGTCTTAGTACTGCAACATGAATACAGCTTTTTACAAATATTCTATTTTTCTCTTTTATCATGTCTGATTGTTCATTTGATCATCTTAATTTCCCAGTCATCTCATTAGCTGTTCACTGTGGAAAAGGAATTGAGAGCCTGACAGGCAGACTCCATAAGGGTTTCATTTTCTGCTTAGAACAACTTGCCAAGATTCCTGACTACCTCCAGAGTTACCCCTGACACTATAGAGTGAAGAGTGCCACAAAGCTATTAACTAAGTGTGAAGGCATCAGGTAGAAGGTGAAAAAGACCCCAGAGACAAAATTTCACCTTCTAAATTCAACCTTACAATCTGGGCATACTGATAAGAAAAGGCAGATTTACCCTAAAGCTTAAAACTCCAAACAATATTCGATAAGCATCACTACCCTAGACTTATTCCTGGTCTACATGAGAGAAATTCAGCCTTTCCATGTATCAGCCAGCAGACACCTTATTAAAGGTAGTAACTGTTCCTGGAAACCAGTGGGCCTCACAGTGCCTGTCACATCCAGAGGAGCCACAGAAGCACAGAAGCATCACTAGGAAACTTTTTGGGCCACAAGCCCCAGGCACCACCCAAGCTGAGCAACCAGAAGGTCTGGAGGTGGAAGCCAACAGTTTGTTTGAAAAGCCCCCCCCCCCGAAAACTCCCATGCATACTATAATAAAACAGACCACTAGTAACTGAAATTAGCTTTGGTTATCAAATCCTGAAGTTTCTTCTAGGGGCTAAACGCAGACAAATTCAAAGAATTCGGATGGAAAAGAAAAACTGAGCTTCAGAACTCAGAACTCCAGACCCACGGTTTAGAAATATTTCATCCTGGGATAGAAATCAGCTAGCATCTGGTTTTGACCAGTAACAGAGATGAATGCAGAGCTTTGGAAGTCATTTGTTTCTGATCTCCAGATAAGGTGATCAATAAAAGAATTTTCCTCTGTGGATCAAAACAGTGTATTTATGTCCCCTAACTTAAAAGGGTTTACTCCTAGAACTGTTTTTTGTTTTGTTTTCTGCTTTTTAATCCAGCCAGGTGAAGATAAAACTAACATGTCATCAAATAAATAAATCTTTTTATGTTTTTAATGAAATATTTATCATTCTGTAGAAAGATTATAGTTCTTTCTAAATCTAGCAGTGTCCTAAATATTATAATAGGGTCATGTGTTTATGTTTGCTGACAAGTAAACTTCCTTGGCACAAAGTGCTTTGCTTTAAGATGTGGACGATGTTAACACCCATGTTTTTGGTTTTTGTTTATAGTCCAAACTGGGTTATCTGACCCTGGTCTTGTGCACAGCCCACACTTTGATGTATGGTGGAAAGAGATTCCTCAGCCCTGGGATCCTAAGGTGGAGCCTTCCTTCAGCCTATATTTTAGCCCTCATCATCCCATGCACAGTTTTGGTGATGAAGTTCATCCTCATAACGCCATGCATAGACAAGACCCTCATGCGCATCCGTCAAGGCTGGGAAAGGAACTCACATTACTCAAAATCAGCACTGAATGGAAAAACAGATATTTAGAACCAAGATGAATTTGTGGGGATTTCTGAACTCCTATAGCAAATATTTGGAGAATAAGTGTCCAGTTGAGAAAGCACTCTCTCTTGTCATGATTTATCATCACAGAAGGAAGCATTTTCTGGCCCTGAAAGACTTCTGAAGGGCACACCCCATCTCCTCTCTTGTGATTACTCACCTCAGACCTCCCTCACTTCCTTTCCCAGGAACCCTGGGGCTGAAGTTTCACACTATGAAACCTCTTAATTATGGGCAACATGCATGACGTAATGTTTTGCAAAATGCTAGGCCAGTGTATGCAACTTCCTTCTCTAATTCAAGGGCTAAAGTACTTGGGGAGCAAAAAGGGAACTCTGATAGTCATCCTAAAGGTGTCACTTGGCATGCCTAAAGAAGAGGCCCAAATGAAGTAAAAATAACAGGAACAAGGCTTTGTTTTTGTGAGGAGTGGTGATCATAAGTGTTGTCATACTGATCTTGGGGTATTTTGGTTTGGGTGTAGCACTAAGCATCAGGCCTAGGGCCTTATGCATACAAAGCAAATACTATATTAATGAGCTATACCTCAGTCCTGCCATAGTGAATATGGAGTCATTTGTATCCCATGATTTTGTTTTTACCAATATGGATACTTACCGTGGGGAAATATTTTTATAAAACAGCAAAAATATCTGGGTTATCTTAAAGTAAACCATTCCTTGGATCTACAGAGATCTATGTAGTTGTCACAAGACTCTTCCTCTACAAGGAATGGGTTGAGTCTGGCTAAGAATGGAGAGCTCCTGAGCTCAGGAAAGTTTGAGAGTGGAGAGATCCATTGGATTTTTCAGTGTGCAAAAAGCAAGAAAAGGGTTGAACAAAAATGTCAAATAAGCCTTAATTGTAGCTAGTAAGCTAAGCAAATGCTATGACGTTTCACTGTGCTTTTTGGTATTATTGAGGGACTTTGGTATGCATGATGCATTATATAGTCTAAATACTGACCAATATTAGGCACCTGTGAAACCAATTTCTAATAAATGATAAAGCTTCCAAAATCTGTCTTTGTGATAATTTTGAGGGGTGAAGTTTTAAGGAAATTATCTGAAACTGTTGTTGTGCTAAAAGCATAGCTGAGAAAATTGTGGGATGCTGGGAACAGCTGCAGCTGATGTGTTGTCGCCAGCTCTGCCTTCCTGTGTGGATAGTGCCTTTCCCAAGGTGACCTTTAGCAGGCTCAGTATCCTAGCTCTAGCCTGGAGCTAAAAGGAGATTTTAGCACAATCTTCCCACGTGTCACTGAAATAACTAAAAGGCACTGGGTTTGACATTTTTCTGCCTAATCTACAAAGGCTGTTTGTTTTTCATTTTGTTGGCTTTTATTATCACATATCATACATGATATCATACATTGATCACAATCCAAGATTTTATATATAAAGCTTATATTATATTAAAAATTGCCATTTCTTTTTACTGTTGCTATAATAGAACATGAAGACTGTATCCAGTTTTTATTAAAATGACAATGGAGGTGAAGTCTTTGTACTAACAATCTATTTCTATATTTTCAATTATTTCCTCAGAATATTTTCTAAGAGTTAATAATACAAAAGTAAAGAATATTTGGTAACACTTGCTGTATTGCCAGTTTCTAATGTGACATTCTCAATTCCCTTGGCACACCATTACAGGTTTGAGGTTTGACTTCAATTTGTGTTTTCTTATATATAGCTATAAAGACATGGAGGCTATGCTTCTGTAAGTTGCCTTTGAAGAGCCCATGCAAGAATACCAAGAGGCAGAGTATGGGGACATCCCTGAAGATGGAGGGAAACATGGCCAATCCCCCATGTTGTACAGAACAACCAATTGTGGCTGGGCTGACCAGAGCAATGCCTGATTAAAGCTAAAACACTATCAGTTTGGTTTAGGGAGGCATTTGGAGTCAACCACATTCCCATTTCAGTAAGGGCCATCAAATAATACAATAAAATAGAAAATGCCACACCTAAGTAAAGTATACATGAACTGAAAGCTTTATAATCTGTTGATGATGGTCTGTCTAGGAATTTAACACAAGCAGCCATCAAGCCTGAAATCAGAGCCCCAGTGGCTTTGGCACAATAGTTGCCTAACTTTTGGTCATGACTATGGAGGTTCCGTGGGCCACCAGGAAAAAGCCCTCCCTGCTTCCCAGAACCATCTCCCATTACTCAAAACTGTGAACAAATCTGGCCATGTTAACAGGTGGAGAGAATGAAAATAGGTCAGAGAACTATATTTCTCTTTCTCTCTCTCTCTTTATCTCTCCTCTCTCTCTCTCTCTCTCTCTCTCTCTCTCTCTCTCTCTCTCTGAAATTTGGTGTTGCTTTGATTTTATTGTAACTGTGCCCTGGTTCTTCCCTCTTTTTTTTTTTTCTTTCTTTTTATTTATTCTATGTGTCTTGGATATCATGTACCTTGATCCCATTCATTTCCCCATCCGTTCGTGTCTGCCCTCTGCCCTTGCACACACACCCCCCCCACACACACATGAAAAATGAAACAAAATTTAAGAAAAACGATCAGAAAAACAAAAAGGGAAACATTTAAAAATCTCATCATGGAAGCTTCAGTGTGACACAGCGAGTCATGCTGTAAACCCATTTGTCCATGTTTCTTTACTTGCAAGTGTTCAATGCAAAGAGTCATTGGTCTGGTTCAAGGCCTCTGGTTTCTACACTGTTGATGCTGGATGCTCACTGGGGATCTTCCTGGGTATCCTGCTGTTGCCCTGTGTTGTGGAGATCCTGCAGCTTTGGGTCTGTGGGTCAGGTCCCTTCATGTGCTCCAGCAGATCATAGATGGGGTAGATTTCTGGGCAGGTACAGTCATAACCCTGGGTCTGGGCCTGGGCTTTTAACAGAGCTGATCTACATAAAAATGTTACACTGACAGTAGCTATAACCTCAGCACTTGGGAGGTGGAGGCAGGAGGATCAAGAGTTCAAAGTCAGTTGGGAAGAAAGTGGGTAGAACCCTGGGATTAAACAAAAGGAGGAGTCTTATCTTTTAAAGCATGTAGGATGAAGAAAAATGAAATTCTCCTTTATAAAGACACGGTGAAAGATAAACAAAGAGAATACAGCCACATAATCTCCCCTGAGGGGGGACCCCATCCATGTACTCACTGTTTAACAAAGAGAAGGGGGTGAGAATTCTAGGTCACCCTAGCCTGCATATCACCTTGTATTAAAGAAAGAAAGAATGCCAAAATAAATAAAAGAGGAAGAATTACATCAAGCTTCTTTTGTGCTGGAGTGTTTCCTGTATTCCAGGAAAATTTTTTTATCAAATTCATAGATGCCTATTTTATATTCTTATTTTATATGTCATTTGAAGAAATGGCAATTGTCATAAATTTGTAATCATTACACATTAAAAAAATATTTTCTAGTTTTATTTAATTCTGGTTTTGACTCAATAGCATCCCAAAGAATATAACTGAAAGATTTTGAATCACATTCGTTACAGCTTCTGGGACTAAAAATACTCGCTGTCTGGGATAAAGTAGGGAAGAGGTGAGCGTGGGTTTGAGCCGAGGCCTGGATCTGCAGTTCATTCAGAGCATTTCAACATCCCACGGTAGCGTCACTGTACCCCGCAGGGGCACTTGCCGGCTATCCTTCCCTGGGCTTATGTGAGAATTAGAAAAAGAGGCTCTTCTCCAGGAAGGTGCCCCCAGAACAGGGCTAATGGTTTGGCGGGTGGACTTCATGTTAGATTCATACTGCATAGCATTAAATGCCTTGAACAATGGACAACTGGAGCTTTCAAAACCGACAAGGAAGGGGGCTGGGAACCTGCAGTAAACTAAAAGCAAATGCAGCAGCTCCTCTCTGAAACCCATTTCCATTAGAAATTCATCAAAAGCGCTTACTACACCAACTGCTCAGGGAATCACGAAAGAGTCGAGATAATGATGAAGGTGTTTAACACTTTGAACCTCTCAACTTTAAAAGATTCTGGACGTCATCTGAAAATCCGAGAGAATGGAGGTCAAGGTGGTACATTCAGAGGTCATGGTTTTCAATCTGTTGGCACAGCCATCGTCCCCTGGCCACTACACATACATAGCAAGAGTGCCCATATATAAATATATCCTAATATTCTAATTTCATATACTGAAGATTACAATCTAGAAAAAAGCCTCCATACCTCAAAAGATGTGTTTGGTAGAATTTAGGCAAAGACAGCAGTTACTATTCTTTCCTTGCCTCTGCTCAAGAGACCCTGAGCTCACACAGAACCTGAATAAGTCAGGGGAGGCTCCTTGAGGAAGTATCTAAAGGGTTGAACAGAAAGAAAGTGTGGAAAAGCAGGGAAGCAGCCAAGACAGAAACATCCAGTACCATTTCCTGCTCCAAGGGAATCTTGGAAGGTGTGGTGTGATGTTTACTGCATAATATTGTGAGTAGATCCTGTACTATTATGGCATGTTATTTTCTTACCCAGTCCTTATAAAGATTCTCTGAAATACTCCAATTATCATTGCTTTTCAGAAACACTCTGAGTCTTGGCCTCATTCACACAGCTAGCTTTACAGGTCAGGATGCAGGGCAGTACTCTCTCAACACCATGCTGACCTCCCAAATATTCTTAAAAGCCCACAAATTAGGTTGCAGACCCCTAGCAAGTGTGTTCTGATATGTTTTGGGTTGGGGTTTTATCATTGTTTGTTTGTTTTGTTTTGTTTTGAGAAGACGGGATTTCCCTGTATTGTTTTGAAGCCTGTCTTGGAACTGGCTCTGTAGACCAGGCTGGCCTTGAATTGTTTTGGAGCCTGTCCTGGAACTGACTCTATAGACCAGGCTGGCCTAGAACTCACAGAGATCCACCTGTCTCTGCCTCCCGAGTACTGGGACTAAAGGCATTCACCACCAACTCCCAGATTTTATATTTTTTGTCCGGGGAGTATCTTTTATTACAGTTTTATTTATTCATTTGGGGGGAGCACAGACATGACATGTAGGGGTGAGCTCAGAGGACAACTTACAAGAGTAGATTTTTCTCCTTCCATCTTTTGGGTTTGCGGGGATTGAACCCAGGTCCTTGGGATTGGTGGCAGATGCTTTACCTACTGAGTCCTTTCCAAGGCCCCGAAATGTCTTTTAGAATGTGAAGCTCAAGGACATTTTAAGCATTCCTAACTGTACCATCTCCAAGTTTCCTCTTTAACTTTCAAGACATCCTACTAGGGTTCAGTAATGTATGAACTGTAAGTCTATTTTTGCTTTTCTGAGAGCAGCCATCATCTTGGTCCTCACTCCAACTCCATTTATAGGTTTCCAGAACTCCACAAGGAGCTTGGAGAAGCAGGAGATGGAAAAGCCACTGAGGGCCATGCTTCTCTTCTCCAGGAGCCTTAGGCAAATGCTCTCCACCTACCCCCTACACCTACACACACACACACACACACACACACAAAGGCACACACACGCATGCACGCACACACACAGGCTCGTTTGCTTGCCATCCCATGCCCATTCCTTATACTTTGTGCTATTTGTTCCCTGAGACTTAGTGACCTATGCAGAAAATTCGATAACACTTCTCATTTAATATTTTAATGCTTAATAAAGAATTGTATTGTTAATAGTGGGAGTATAGCTTTAGTCTGACCCTCTAGACATACAAAGGCCAACCTCTTGGTTTTGTTGAGGTAAGGGCTATTAGAACATGTACAACCAGAACCAAATGTCCCCCCACGCCTTGCTTTGCAGAGTCGATGAGGCTTTGAAAGAACACAGCTGGCTCATAGAGTTCGGTTACACTAATCTTTTCTTCCATGCGGGTAAGACAGACAGTGTAAAAGAAGGAGACACTGTCTGCGCCTGATCTTTAAGGTGTAGTAGGATCTGCTGGGTCATAAGAATCAACAGCCTGAGAGATGCCGGAGTCTTAAAATGCCACCTGTCTGTGCTCCTTGGGCAATCACTAGAAAATTCCCATTTGTAGTTAACCCAAGTTTTCCTATTTGTGTCTCTATCCATTTTTATCAGTGCTATTGTTTAAGAGAAAGGCAGTATTTTTCCCCCTTATTTTCCCCCACATCTCACAGATTGATATGTCTGTAAAACAAACAAACAAACAACAACAAAAACTGCCACACTTAAATACTATGACAACATCAAATTTCCATAAAAAGTTCCATCTGAGGGGGCCAGCACTGCTCGCTTTCTCCAGGGAGCCTCTCCTGAGACACGGACTTGGTGGGAATGGTTTGTTCTGGAAGTTAAATCATCAAGTGCTGAGAAGAGGCAGAACTGCTAAGGAATAAGGTTTAAGCCAGTGGCCATGGTCACCAGGAAACTCAGAGACAGGGTCAAATTGTAACCCAGAGCTGCTGCCAAAGAGGAGAGAGCAAAATGGTTTTTCATCTACCAAATCCTGATTTCTATCTAATGGGAAAA